ATCTGATGTGGACATGGAGGCCGAGGGTGGCGAATGGAAAGGGAGTGCTGAGGAAGCTGGACAACAAACCACTGAAGAAGAAGAACCAGCTGAAGCCCGCACTGGTGAATACCATTGGTATGACACCGTCCTATACATGTCCGAAGTGGGCGACATGGACGAAGCAGGAAAGTTCTGCATTAGTGGGAGGAACATCACCGAAGAAGGACCACGAACCAGGAGCGAACTCGATGACGTCATCCGTGACGCAATCATTCGTGGGGGTGGAGATGTTTGGAAAGTTCCAGACTTCATGGCGGCGTACACCGACACCAACCTCCGCAAACCCATGTACAAAAGAGTCGAGGCCCGTGCATATGGATTCCTCAAAATCGTGCCAAGCACAGGGTGTTCCTTCTTCAACTACGAGTTCTACAATGGAGTCGAGATCGACATCAACTACAGGTTCGGACAAAACAATGAACTCCAACCCTATGAGAAGGACGTGAGCACCGCTTTGAATCGCGTCCTGAGGCATCATGCGGTATGGAAAGGGTCCATCTTGGTCTCAAATGCGATGATGCAGGTTGGGTTCCGATCGACGACCTCCTCAAGTATGAGAACGTTTGGAAACAGGACTCATCAAGATTCCCACATGTGTTCCTAGCCCCACGAGGAAAGAGCGATGACAAACGAGCATGGGACAAACAGGAGGCAGGCTATCGAATGAGCGTCCTGTTTAGGGTCATGTTCCATTGTGCTCGATATGGGCGTCGTGTCCGTGAACAAATCCTTGCCTTCGGCATCTACCCGGACATCGACAGGAACAGTGAGACATGCAGGGCAAATGGTGTCGACCGCAAAACAAAGATTCCAGAAGAAGGGTTACTTCCCCTGAGCATCCGATATTGATTACAATCAATATGGGGCAAGCACTTTTGATTTCAATGTTTTTTCAATATAAAATATTGATTTCAGAGCCCTTGGTGTTATTTTTTTATATTGATTTGTTTGCTGGGTTTGAAAAGCAAGCCAAAAATCAATATAAAAATCAATATTTTTGCAATGTTTCCACTTGTCTCCCCTTTCCCTTTTGGACCCCAAACATTGCAGCACCAGCCCCCTCTTTTGGAGGTTTGTATGTGCAAATTTCAAGGCAAAGTGTTATCCTTTGCCAAGGATCAGGACCCTTTCTCAAGGATTAGCTCCATCACTCCCTTTTTCAAGGGATGTCCTTTCTCCAGGGATGCCCTTTCTCAAGGGCCTCTGGCAACTTACCCTTTTGCAAGGGTTTTATCCTTTTGCAAGGATCAGTGCTGGTATCTTTCCCTTTCCCAAGGGATGTCCAAAGAGCTCCAGGGCTAAGGTGGCAGTGCCCTTTTGCAAGGGGTTTCCTTTTGCATTAAGGAGCATCCTTTCTCAAGGATTGATTTTGGCAATTTCCCTTTTGCAAGGGACATCCTTTCTCAAGGATTGCTTGTGGCAAACTCCCTTTTTCAAGGGGCACCCTTTCTCAAGGGCTAGTCTTGGCAATTGCCCTTTTGCAAGGGCAATCCTTTTGCCAGGGTGTCCCTTTCTCAAGGGATAGCAGAGCCAAGCTATTCAACGGAGGTTTGCAGATGAAACCCTGGCCTTGTGCACAGAAGATGTAATAAAATTCTGTACTTGATGGCCAGTTTTTGGCTGATCTTGGTTGCTTTCACACCCATGGACACACTGTGGGTCACAGTACTTATGTGACCCACATAGTCTTCTGCCTTGAAGCACCAGAAGACTCTGGGATTTAAATACCAGGCATCTTTTGCAAGATGTAGGAATGTATGGCGCTTGATGACTATGTGGAAGGAACTCCTTCCACAATCTTCCGACCATGCATTCAGCCACTGGTATTCTTTCATGGCATCTTGTGCCAATTGCCAAGACTTCTTGAACTCTGCTTTTGTGAGAAATGTTCCTGCAGAGTCCCAGATTGCCACCACCTGGCATACATGCTCTAAGCACTTGAGCATGTGGCTGTGCTCTGGCTTGCTGAAATCCAAGATGTTTTTCAAGACTTCCAGCAGGCATGGAGCCAGGTGCTTGCCTTCACCACCTTTACAGCTCAGGTTGGCCCAGTTTGCCCAAGGCTTCTTTGGATCAGTGAACATGCTTAGCACCAAATTGGTGAGCCTGCATGTCACTTCTTTGCCGGTGTACACTGCTTGGACCTCTTTGAAGATGATTCCAAGTCTATCTGCTGGCTTTGTTGCCTGGTGTGCACCTTCATCATACCAGCACAAATAATGCAGGATGGATCCAAGGAGGTGCCCATACAAACCTTTTGTGAACAGGATATGCAGGGCATCTCCTCTCACAAGCCTGCTACTGTTGCCAGGGACCTCAGTTAGCAAGGGGTGTTCACTGCTAGGAAATGCCTGGGCCCAAGAGTGATCCACCTCTGTGAACTGATCCCATGGATGGAGCTTGTTGTATGGCTTCTCTCCAGCAGCTTGAGTGCAATCGCAATTCCAGCATGGGGATGCATTCCTCCAATGGGGAAGGCCCAAGCTGTTGCTGAAGAATTCATGGTCTCCTGCACCACACAATGGCCTTAAGGCCTGATGCCAGTGGCTTGCCTTTCTTTGCCCAGAAAGGGCTCCCCTTTTTCAAGCAGAAAGGGACGCTCTCAGCCCCCACGTTTCTCAGTCCCCACGTTTCTCAGTTCCCACGTTTCCACATGTCTGGACAGACGACGTGACAGATTACATATGAATCTTTGTTAGGAAAAATGTTACGTCTACGGAATTCATGCTTATGAATCTGTAGTGTCACTAACAAGCAGACTTGAGGAACACCTGACTCTGATTATATTTCTAATTCACAGGAAAGAAAGAGCCACACAGAAAACAAACGAAAAAAAAAAACATTGGGCTGACCCCCCCCCCTACCTCTCCCAAGACGGCCTATAGAGCAAACCCAGATATATTTTTTCTTGTCGTGGAGCTTCTTACATTTGTGTTCTGTTCTTGTTCTTGTTTCTTGCTATTTTTCTTGTTTCTGTGGATATCTCATATGCTTACCTGATGCGTCCTGATATTTTGCTTTGAAGAGTGTTTGCAAACGCAACGGACAGGCGTATAAACTAACAAGGTAGACATACCATAGAAATCCCATAAGAACCCAGTGGAAATCATATAAGAATAACATATGAGACTGTAGCAGATAACATGACCCAGAGAGCCACCTAGAGCCACCAAGATAGCCCAGCTAGGGGAGGGGAGGAATCATCTGAAAATATCATAGATATAACATAGAATTAGTATAGGTACCACAAAGAAATCCCATAAGAATATCATAGATTTCCCTCAGACATCTCATAGGAATTCCATAGAAATATCATAGACATACCATAGAAATCCCATAAGAACCCACTGGAAATCCCATAAGAATACCATACGAGGCTGTAGCAGGCAAGATGGCCCAGAGAGCCACCTAGAGCCACCAAGATAGCCCATCTAGGGAGACACTGTCCTGTCTCCTATTCTGTTTGATTGGTCTCTGCCCCATAGTAAGCAGACTGGGATCCCCTCCATTGCTTCGATTTCCCATGGCCTTGACAAGAAAACAAAAGGAGAACAGGTATAAAGGGAACACGAAGAATAAGATGATAAAAAATCTGGATGGCTCTCTGGGCTATCTTGCCTCAAGCAATGTCATCTGTCTCTAGGTGCCTCTCTGGGCTATTTTGTCTATTACAATGTTGTCTGTCTCCAGATAACTCTCTGGGCTATCATGTTTGCTGCACACTCGTCTGTACCTTGGAGGCTCTTTAAGCCATTGAGTCTTCAGCCTCATCCTTGTCCGTTACACGTGCATCTGTCTCTTGGCAACTCTCTAGGGTATCTTGTTTGCTAGAAAAGTCATTTGTCTCTAGTTGGCTCCCTGGGCCATCATGCATGCAATCATACTTGAATGTTCAACCAAATAAGGATCACGATCCATATTCTGCAAAAGGTCAAAAAAAATTAAATAACAATATCTATAAAACGCCAATAAATAGAATTATATTCACGATACTTCTAATCTGTAGTTCAGCTGCAACAAATTCCAGATCGCTTGTCACACTGCCAGCATCCACTCATGCTGTTTGTTGATTCTGACTGTGCTTTCTCATGTGCAGTCTCTATATTGCTCTGCCATCCCATTGCAGTGACATACCATTGGCTTTGAGATCCCTTTCCTTCGACACTCCTTTGCTTTGGCATCCCCAATATGTAGCATAGATTTTGTTTCGTCATTATTTGAATTCAAATGCGATTTAGGGTATGTGCCGCAGTATATAATTTTAATAAAAAATGTTCATATTATGTCTTAACTTGATGAACTTAGAATAAACTTTGTCATATCTAGAACCATACTTAATCAGTAAGAATTTATTTGAAGAAATAAAATAAATGCATTAAAAATAACAAAAAACAGCTAAAAATGACGTAAAAACTGGGGACCCACAACGTCCCGCACTCTTTTCAAGGGGTTGCCATCTGCATCATGAGTTGGGTGCTGCCCTTTTGCAAGGGCTTTGAAGGATCAAGCCAATTCTTTCCAGAGCTGTGGCCATGTGTCTTTGCAAGTGCAACTCTTGGGCCAAGCTGCCATGAGCAAGTGGCTGTCCAGGGATTGTTCTTGGGAGAGGAGGGGTCCAAAGCTCCAAACCATAAAGCTGTCCCTGGATTCATATTCCACTCCATCACCATGTGTGAACAGAGGGATGGTGACTTGCTCCCACCCTTTTTCAAGGGTTGCTGGATGGTTAACCAGCCTGTCATCATCCCTTGCCAAGGTTTGTTCCCAAAATTCAGGCAGCTCATGAAGCTTGAAAAGCCTTTGAAAAACTTTTGGGTAACTCTCAGCCAATGCACCGAACATGAGGTGTGGGTAGAAAATCGCAACATCCTCATCAATGATTTTGCTGGTCTTGGGGTCAAAGCATTTGCATGTGACCAAGCCAGGCTCAGGCACTGACAGCTGGTTGCAGAAGGACCTTACCAAGGCCGTGTGGCAATTTCCTCGCTGCTCTCCAAAATTCCCAGCTGCTCAGCTGCTCCAAGAGTTGCAACTTCAGGATGGCTGCAACCATCAAGTGTGGCCAGGTTGGAGAGCTTTTGCACTTCCACTGCAGAGAGCTTGCCATGTGCCCAAAGGGACAATAGCTTTGTAGCCAAGTTGCTGGGTGCAGAACTTGTGGATGGGGTTTCTCCTTCTGTGTCTGCACCCAGATCCATATCCTTCTTCCACCCTCTCAGCCTCTTTGCATTTTTCATGGCTGAGGAAGTGCCTTTTCACAAAGGCTCAGGCAGAAGAGCACTTGGCTGGACCTTTTGCAAGGTCTCTCCCTGCAACCCTTTTGCAAGGGGTGTGGAAGCAGTCCTTTCTCAAGGATTGTCCTTTTGCAAGGGCTCTAGCCAGGCTGCTTTTGGTAAGACCTGCCCTTTTGCAAGGGTGTCCCTTTTGCAAGGGCTGTGCAAGCCAGCAACCCTTTTGCAAGGGTTTCCTTTTGCAAGGGGTGAGAGGCTGACCCTTTTGCAAGGGTGTCCTTGGCAAGGGTTTGCCTTTTGCAAGGCTTTCCTCTACCTTTTTCCAAAGGTTTGCCTTTTGCAAGGCTTTGCCTTTTGCAAGGCTTGCTATACCTTTTTGCAAAGGTGTGCCTTTTGCCTTTTGCAAGGCTTTGCTTCCCTTTTGCAAGGGTTGGAACTTGCCCTTTTGCAAGGGCTTAATCTCCTACTCTACTACCTACTAAACTAAACCTACAGTTTTGAAGCAAAACAGCTGCAGAGGCATGCATGTCACCTCAACCTATACATGCCTTTCCATGCATGCATTTCCCTTCACCATCTCCCCAAGCTGCAGCCAGCAAACTTTTTTCTAGGCATGTGAAGAAGTTCTCCTAGCTTCTATCTACCAAAATTGGATTAAAAAAAACAAAAACTACCCTTTTGCAAGGGGCTTGCATGACCCTTTTGCAAGGGCTGGCACCCTTTTGCAAGTGTTGGGACTGCCCTTTTGCAAGGGTTGGGGCTGCCCTTTTGCAAGGGCCAGGAAGCATTTGGCAAGGGGTTACCCTTTTGCAAGGGTCAAAGGGAATGCCTGTGCCACTAACCCTTTTGCAAGGGCTGTGCAAGCCAGCATCCCTTTTGCAAGGGTTATCCTTTTGCAAGGATCACATGCTGGTAGAAGCTTTGCTGGCTCCTGGCCTCCTCCTTGGCTTGCTTGCACATATTGGCACATTCCACCAATGCCTTTTTCAAGGTAGGTGGACTTGGCTTCTTCAGGAGCAAGTCTTTCAACTTGTCCTGGACCTTTTTCAAGGCCTGAAGCTTCTTCTCAATTTCCTCTTTGGCCATCTTTGAGAGCCTGCTTTTGGCCTTTTGCAAGGTCTCTTCCAGTTCATTGATGCACTTGCTGCATTCATCCCTGGCTCTTTTGGCTCTCTTGAGGAGTTTCACAGGATCTTCATCATCCTTCTCCCCATCCTGCTCCTCATCCTTCACCTCCTTGTCCTTGATGGCCAATTGTTGGCTTTTCCCTTGGCCTTTTGCAAGGCCTTGGCCTTTTCCTTGGCCTTTTCCAAGGCCTTGGCCTTTTCCAAGGCCTTTGCTTGTGTTCCCTTTTCCAAGGGATCCTTTGGCTCCATCTTGGCAGAGGCCCAGCACCCCAGTGTGGCCATCTGCCTGCCAAAGGCTGTCAAAGGCTTCCTCCTCCTGCTCAGCAGGATCATATTCCACAGCCCTGGCAGTGGTTCTACCCTTACTGACCTTGAAGTTCTTCTCAAGGTCTTGGGTATCTGAGTGCTCCCACACACCCCAGGTGGTGGGACTCTCTCTCCAGCGGATCCTGCCTGAGGACAGATGAGCTTCAAACTCATCTTCTTCCCATATTTTCAACATCTCCTTCTTGCTGCTCCATTTCTCCCTTTTGTTCCAAAAGGTGCTCTCTTCCTTGACATGGAGAAATCTGCTTCCTGCAGAGCTCTTTTTCAAGAGCCAGAGGGCAGCTGCAAACCCCTTCTCCAGCTTGCCTCTCTGATCATGCTCCCCTTTTTTCAAGGGGTTTCTCTTCAAGTGGGTCTGGTGTTGGCTCCAGACCTTTGCATTCTCTGCAGGAGTCATGGCCTTTTTCAAGGCCTTGGCAGCATCTTCTTCATCAGTGTGCTCCTCACAAACTGCAGCAACCTTCTCTTGCAAAGAAAGGTTGCCAAGTCTGTTGAGGTTCTTAGCACACAGCTTGCCCTTTTTCAAGGGCTTGTCCTTTTTCAAGGGCTTGCTGCCACTGCTGGGGAGATGCTTGCCCTTTCCCAAGGGCTTGCCCTTTGGCAAGGGCTTATCATTTTGCAAGGGCTTGTCCTTTTGCAAGGATTTGCCCTTTGGCAAGGGCTTGTCCTTTTGCAAGGGCTTGTTTTTCAAAATTCCCTTTTTCAGGGGTTTTGCCATCTTGGAAATTGGCATGTTCTTCCTAAAAGTGTTTGAAGTTTAAAAAGGCTGCAGGTGCATGAAGGGTTTAGTTCATGTGTGTGTGTGTGCGCGTGCATGTGTGTGTTTTGTACAAAATGTGTACAAAATTGTTTTTAAAAAGAAACAAGCAGAAAACAAACATATAATATATTATAAGGCATATAAATAGTTTTCTAGTCAAAACTACATAACAAATTAAAAGCACCATGCATATATCATACACAAGCATGTTCATTAATAACTATATATATTTATATCTATATATATATATAAATGTACATTATTAATTAAATTATACTAAATATTTAATATGTAATTATCTTGCATGTGGAAGAAAGCCCGTGATTTTTCAACCAAACCAAAGCAATACATTAACACAAACCAAAACAATATAAAACAAACATAGATAAAACATTTTTGTTATTTAAGGAAAACACGTGTTTTTCAATATTTTCCAAACCAAAACAAATTGGTGTTACTAACCAAACAAACATACAACACATATAAACCCAATACCAAAACCAATGTTCAACAAACATTGGTTACATTAATTTCAACTTTTTCAAGGTGTTGCAAATCTAAATCTGGTTTCAATCACTGGTTGTTGATGTTTTTCAAATGAATTTAGTTTTGATGAATTTTGATGAACTTTGATGAAATTTGATGAAATTTGATGAAAACCTGGTTTTCATCAAATTTCATCAAATTTCATCAAAGTTCAGTTTTTTTTTTCAAAACCTGATTTTTTTGATGAACTTTGATGAAATTTGATGAAAACCTGGTTTTCATCAAATTTCATCAAAGTTCAATTTTTATTTTCAAAACCTGGATTTTTTTGATGAACCTGTTAAAAAACAAATAAACTGATAGAATTGGATAGGATTGGGTTGGCACTAATATTTTGAAAACAGTATTTTTTTAATTTATAAACCTTTTCAAAACCAAAACAAATAGTTTAAATATTTTTCAATGTTTTTTTGTACACAGCAAAACAGTAAGGCAACATTTCACTGTCAAACCTGTATTGGACTATATTGAAACTATACTGGATTTTTTTTGAAAATACATTGTATAATTTGAGATAGATTCCAGGTACTATTTGTGTCTGACTCTTAAAATAAATAATTTGAACACTTATTTCTGCAATTAAGGATTTTCCCATCTGCATCTTAACATAATATATATATATAAATAAAAATTCAAGCTTAATTCATGTTTTTTCAGGTATGAATTCTCTGGCTTTTAATTTTGGGTCAAACAGTTTAGTACTCTGTGTTTCTATGTTGTTTCAAATATCATTGTGGAATTTGTTTGGATCAAGAAACTGCAGAGTCAACAGAAACATAATCATCTGCCTGCAGCCTGAAACAGACACCAAACAGCATTTGAGAAAACATATCAGTTTACAAAAATGAACCTTGACACCTTAAATCTTGAATGTGTGTGGTGTCCCTTTTGCAAGGGATAATGTTTAATTTGGTGTCCCTTTTGCAAGGGGTTGACATTCTGGGAAAGACTTTATTCCATTGCTTTTTTTTCAATAGTATCTGTGTTTCCCTGCTTTGTTGTTTTAGGGTCCATGCAAAACTCAAAGAACATCAGGTTTTCAAAAGGCATATGTCCATGGCACAGGTTTCTAATTTAAAAAACAAATTGTGTAAACAAGTTGTGTAAAGTTGCATGTATTTATATTTAATACATTAATTATTTAGTTATTTTGATTTATTTATATTTATTTATTTATTTATATTTATTTATTTATTTATTTATTTGTTTATTTATTTGTTTATTTCATTTTTTTGCTGCTTGCTACACATTTGGTAGCTTCTGTACAAACCACTGTTGGGCTGCAGCTACAAGTGGCCCTTTTGCAAGGGCTGAGCTATGGCTCAGGTTGGCACACAACAAACAGAAACACACAATGTTTTTTTTAAATACCACCACATCAATATATATATATGTGTGTGTATGTGTGTGTAATTGCAAATGCTGTGTGTAGACCTGAGCCACATGACCCTTTTGCAAGGGTTGCTCTTATTTGATCCTTTTGCAAGGATTATCCTTTTGCAAGGATTGGGGTGGGACACTGCCCCTTTTTCAAGGGGTATCCTTTTGCAAGGCTTGGGGTGAGACATCCCTTTTTCAAGGGGTATCCTTTTGCAAGGGTTGGGGCCAGTCACCTGCCCTTTTTCAAGGGTTATCCTTGGGGGTGGGGACACTTACCCTTTTTCAAGGGTTATCCTTTTGCAAGGATTGGGGCTAGACACCTACCCTTTTTCAAGGGTTGCCATGTGAGAGCCATACCCTTTTTCAAGGGTTTTGCAGAGCACCCTTTTGCAAGGGCTGGAAGCAGTCTCAAAGATTGTAATCTCTGATGAACTGCTTCACTGCTTCTGCAAAGGATGCAAACCTGGAGTTTTCTGGCATCCATGCATGGCTCTCTCTCAATGTCTGGATGCCATAGGTTTTGACACCCCATGAGCCCAGCTCTTGCAAGATGTCCTTTGAATCATCAAAGGCCACCTGGCAGCCCCACCCTGTGGCATACTCTGCCTTGCCCCCCACCCCAGTGCGACTGGTGCAGCATCCCCACCAGTGAAGTTGGTCAATGAGATCTGGGAGCTTGTCCCACATTTCCTTTTCAACTTTGGGGATTTGCTTGGCCCCACAGAAGGAGAGCACATGCACCTCCACTCCTTTGTCAAGGAGCTTCTGCAGGGCCATGAGGTCCTGGACCAGCACAGTGTCCTGGGGACCATTTTTCAGGCAATGGTGCCAATCAACCAACACAGCCAAAGGTTCTGATTGGGCTTCAGGAGACTGCTTCTTTTCTGACCCTTTTTCAAGGGCTGCAGTCTCCTTCCCTTTTGCAAGGGATTTTGCCTGCTTGTTGGTGGCAGTCTGTGACTCCAGAACTGCCACCTTTTTGGCAACATTTCCTTTTTCAAGGAATTGCCCTTTTTCAAGGGCTGTTGCCTCCTCTTTTTCAAGAAGTTTATTTTTCCCTTTTTCAAGGGGTGCAGCATTGCTGCTGCTTGCAGCTGTCCCTTTCTCAAGGGATGTGCCAGTTTCCAGCCTGGGACCAAGCTTCCCCTTTTTGAGGCTCTTCATCAGCTTGTCCTTCAGCTCCTGGCACTTGGCTTCTGCAAGGGCTTTGTTCCCTTTCTCAAGGGGTGTCCCTTTTGCAAGGGCTTTGTTCCCTTTCTCAAGGGGTGTCCCTTTTGCAAGGGCTTCGTCCCCTTTTTCAAGGGGCTTGCCAGTGGACATCACCACCCTCTTGGCTTGCTTGCCGGCTCTTCTGGCTTGCCTAGCCCAAGAGGTGGTGCCCCCACCAGTCTTCCTTCCCTTGGAATTTCTCCAAGGTTCATCCTCCTCCCACTCCTCCTCTTCTTCCTCCTCCATGTCCACATTTTTCTTCTCCTTCTTCCTACTCATAGCTGCTAGGCTCAGAACCAAAAATGGCTGCAGGCAGGACATGTTCATGTGTTTAGTTTGCTTGTTTTAACAACTAAACATGTTTTGTTTGCTTTAGCATAGCATAGGAAAAGAGACAAAAACATATGGACAACAAACATGGCACAAAAGGAAATACAAGGAACACCCTTTTGCAAGGGGCAGGGTAGAGACAAACACCACAGGAAAGAAGAAGTGGGAAAGGAACAAAAGATAAGACATGTGCAAATATACACAAATAATAAATATGTATATGCATGGTATGGAGCAACATGTTTTAAACAAACAGTTATATATCATGCAAATACAGGAAGTATGCATGGAAAGGCATGGTAGGCATGAAAAGGCAAACTAATGGTTAAAGATAGAAAACTGCTTTAGGTGGGTGAAGGTATGAGAAAACAAGAAAAGAAGTATATCTCATTGGTGAGAAAAATAAGGAAGTGTGGTGGTGCTAGGTTTGCACATATGGGCATTTATATAGGTAACTGGAAGCCAGATCTAGAAGATTAAAGGGTTGCAAGTATAGGGCAGTAGTGGCAAGATAGATAGCTATATGTAGATAAAGGTGTGCAAGGTTAGAGGTGAAAATAAACAAACACATTATATATATAAATTGAAACATATACATATATATATATACATACACATGTCAATATGCATGTTTTTCAAAACTATTTTCAAACAGTTCTCATGAATTTACTTCATGGTTTTTCATATGTTGGTTTATTAATAAAAATATTTATATTTATTTTAGTTGTTTTAATAAATTTGTCTATTTACTTATTTTTAACATTTGTTTAAATTTCTTCATTTATCTAAAACTGGCCTATATACAACCTGCAAGGGCTGCATTCTGTACACACCCTTTTGCAAGGGCTGCTTTCTATATACATGCACCCTTTTGCAAGGGCTTTCTTCTCCACACCCTTTGGCAAGGGTTCTTTAAAAATTCCCTTTTGCAAGGGCTTGCCCTTTCCCAAGGGCTTGCCCTTTTACAAGGGCTACCACTCTTGGCTATAAAACCCTTTTGCAAGGGTTTTTTGTGGATGCTTACCCTTTCCCAAGGGCTCAGAGGTCCAAGGGTCAAGGGGAATTGTTCACCAGCACCTGTCTCATTTGCAAGGCTTCCTCTTTGCCAATCTTGTCCTTTTGCAAGGACTTCATGATTTCACCACAGAGATATTCATGCTGTGAGCTCCAGGTAGCTGGGACTTCTACAATCAAAATCCTTCTTGTCCCTTGTCCTTTTTGCAAGCATCCTGTGAGGTAGGTCCTTTTGGGTTTTTTGGCATTTGTCTTCCTCACATTTTACCAAGGGCCATCTTTCATCCCTTGGTGCCCTTTCTCAAGGGCTTTCTTCCCTTTCTCAAGGGCTTTCTTCCCTTTCGCAAGGGCTTTTTCCTTTTCTCAAGGGTTTTCTTCCCTTTCTCAAGGGCTTTCTTCCCTTTCTCAAGGGCTTTCTTCCCTTTCCCAAGGGACTTTGTCACCCCTTGGGGTTGGCTTTTCCCTTTTGCAAGGGTTCCTTCCACTTTAGTTCCAAGGGATGCAGGCCTTTTGCAAGGCCTGCTGCCATACCCCAATGCCTTTTGCAAAGCATGAGTTCCTTTTTCCTTTTGCAAGGATCCTTCCCTTCTCATCATAAATGATTTGGCATGGGAAGCAGAGCTGGCTTTTGGATGCTTCTCTTCTTGTTTCTCTGGTGTCAGAAACATCTTTGGAATGCCTGATGAGTCCAGAGAAACTGCATCCTCATCCTTTTTCAAGGACTCACCCTTTTGCAAGGGGGTTTCTTCACCCTTTTTCAAGGGTTGATGGTCTTCTTCTTCAGGCAGCTTGACCATCTTTACCAGCTCCTGCAACTGCAGAAAGGAACTTGCATTCAGCTTGCTGGCACACAGCCTCATTTGGTCTTGGTCCCTTGCAAGCTTTCTGATGTGGAAGAAGATTGTGGCCAACCTATCTTGCTTCAAGTTGCTCCAGGTACTGCCATTCCACTTGGTCTTGTTAACTTCTGGCATTGAAGTAAGCATGGACAGCAAAGCCTGCCTCAAAGGTCCTGGAGCAACAGAGGCTGAGGGGCAAACAGCCAACAACCCTTTCACAAGGGGTGCAACCTTGACCAAGCCAGCTGGGTCTACTGCCCCTGCCCTGCTGACTGTTTCATACTGGCCAATGTTTGCCACCAGCTCTGGTTTCTGACCCAAGACCTGCAGAAGCAAGGAAGGGTCAGTGTAAACCTTGGCCTTATGATTGGGCCCACCCCTGGCCATCCTTTTGCAAGGATTGCTGCCCTTTTCCAAGGACTCCTTTTGCAAGGATTGCTGTCCTTTCTCAAGGACCCTTATCCTTTTGCAAGGATTGGTGAAGATATTTTAAAGAATTCTGTTTCACTTGAAAGCCAAAAACTGCAGAGTGCACACATTCCCAGACCCCAAAACCATGTCAAAAACCAACCACAAAATCAATATAAAATATTGATTTTGGAGGCTTCAAAATCAATATTATAAAAATAGAGGAAAATGAGTATAATAATCAAAGTGGATATCAATAGAAAGAGGTATTTGGTCCAACTTTTTTGTATTGATTTTGAAGCTTCAAAAGCATTAGTTTTATATTGATATTTATTTTGATTTTTTAGTCAAATCAATATCGATATTTTTTTTGGAAAAAATATTGATTGTAATCAATATCGGATGCTCAGGGTCTGTACCCGGTGGCCGTCAGAGCACCAACAGGTCACAAGCTCAGCCTGGTCAATGACGTCACTTTGAGAGCATCATTATTGTCCCATCCGATTGCTCCGAACACCGTGATCTTGCTTCCAGTATGTTTTCACATCACCATGACCTGGCGGCTTGGACGGCAACACGAGGATTTTCACGTTTTTCAACCCGTACGTCCCTTGGGATCAACGATCCTGGACTGTCACCAAAAGCGTGGATACTCGCCTGGGAGGATATGTGTGCCTCTACATCCCAACTGAGACTCTCATGAAGGATTTTGGAGGTCGTCTTACCGACTCAGGCCAAGTCGTCATGGCACTGATCAAATCGTACCTTTCTCAAAGATCCGTGGAGGATGGATCCAAGATGCGAATTGCAGATGGCATCGCCTGATCGTTCCATCGGGCGAAGAACAAGTCGTCAGAACCGGATCTGTCAGATCCAGAAAAGTCGCGACGAAGGAGACGGTGATTCGGATCGCTCAACAGTGCGTCAACGCCTCCAGCCAGCCCTACGACGAAGAGACGATGGACGTCATGACCATCTTGAGTCGCTTCGAGAAACGTCAAATCCTCGAAGGGGGCAAAGAACATGGGCACGGGTTTAAAAATGAAATCAATGGGGGGACGACCCGTCTGAAATTTCAATTTTGGATTTCATTTTTCTTGCCGCGCCCTCTATCAAGTGGAAAAGGGTCCGATGGTCTGACATGGTCTGACCTTGCCTGCAGAGTTCGGTGCCTCAGTGTGGACACATTGGTATCACAAAAGTATGCATGTTTTTTTGCAAACCTCATTTTGTGTCCTGCTAGAGACATTATTATGTTTTGCTAGAGACACCTCAAGATCAACGGGGGGGAACGACGGCCACTAAGATTTCAGGAGATCATTTTGGAAGCAAGGCTATGCAATACGCACGCTGTAAATAGAACAGTGAAAGCAATTGCCATTGACCGTTTGACCAACATGGGGGTGCCTGAAAATAAGGTTTACCATGGTTTACCATATGGTTTACCATATGGTTTACCATGGTTTACCTTATGGTTTACCATGGTTTACCATGGTTCAATGACAGTTTCAAAGTCGTCCTTCCAAGAAGTACGTTTTTTTTTTTCCTGGCCAGACCAGTTTAGTGGCCCACACAGACAGATGTGCTCAAAGCATTTTGACAAAAACATGTTGCATCAGTTCCAGAATCTTCGACCTAAGGTTGGATCCGAGCAGATGTGGAGAGTCGGGGATGCGAATGCGTTGAGTTTTGCAGCTTTTCGTCACATCATTTCCAGGTTTTCGCTATCGCTGAGCATCCCTGAGGTCTCAGTATCCTTGGTTTGTTCGACCAGCAGCCGCTAGGACGGCGTAAAGAAAAGTCTTTTGCTCTATCCTTCAGTGGAATATGATATGTGAGATTGTCTATGTGTGAGTATATTTGGAATATGGATGAATATGGTTCTCATGCTGGCTTTCAAGACGCTGATATCTGTATTTTTGAAACATCTTCTCCATTTGAGTACTTTCAACGTACTGTTTAGCGAGTATCATCGCTTTCAAAGACGTGTTGAAGCAAGGAGTCTGGTTCAACACCGGAGCTGCTGTGCGGTGTGGGGAGCCCCATTGTCGTGGCCAGTGTATCATTCTACGGTTCATTTAATTGTATAATACAATATAACTATGATTATAAAATATATATGTATATATATATATATACATTATTGATTAAAATCAAGCAATGTACATATATGTATACTACGATTTTTACTAGTATATTATATAAACCATTCGCCATATGTTGATGCGACTTGGTGCACCTTTCCAAGGTGCCACCAGACAAAGAGCTGGCTTCCAAGTCGGAGGGAAGAACCATCCGGGCCTCACTAGGTACATCTAGGATACCTAGGGCACTAGATATACCCTGGGTAATGGATGGTAATGGCACTAGACCCACAACTGATTGATATTTATAACTTTTTGTTTTTGGCCGAATCCACAATAGATCGTTTTTTTTTGACACACATCCAAGATTCAAAGGGGTATACCGTATACCTACCTATCCAGAGATGATCATAATCTAGGGAAATCCTACAGTACT